TGGCAAAGCTGGAAAAGAGACTGTCACAAAATCCGAAAAGATCAGCGTAGGGGGAATTGACTTGGATCGTCTCTGCCTGTATCCTAATGCTAAGCTGCCAGACAAATTCAAGATGCCTGACTTGGTCAAGTTTGACGGGAGTGGTGACCCCAAGACTCATCTCTACGGCAACCATGCCGCCATGAAGTTACTCAAAGTAGAAAGTCAAACTCTCTCTGGGCCTGCCTTCCATTGGTTTCTGTGGCTCGACATTGCCAAAAGAGGTACTTGGGAAGACATAAGGGCTGCCTTCATCGCTCAATACAATTACAACTCGGCTCAAGATGACTACTTGGGAGTTGGAATCCACGAAGATGGAAGCCAACGGTAAAGGTGGAGAGCCAAAGCGCTCTAATGATTGAGTGCCCAAGCGAGAGGATCAACTCCGCATTATCTCCCGCAACCTTTGCATCTCGATTTGTTCCACTAAAAAACCAAAAAGGGGTGAAACACGAGGACTTCCCAGGGGTCACCCATCCTAGTACTACTCTCGTCTAATCGCCCGAAATGCTTCCCTCCTTGATTCATTTGTTCCATCAATAGGACCAACCGCCATGCATTTTCTTTCTCGGCGACGAGCTTTCTTAGTCACGCCTCGCCGACCCCTTTGTCAGCGTTGGAGGAGACTCTCGAGGGGCAGCGTGCCCGTTCGAGGAGATAGTTTTTCTCAGGAGCCCAAAAAGTCAGCCATGGCAGGAAGCCTCGGCAAGACAGCGGAGGCGGCGAGGAAAGAGAAGAGGAGGAGTGGGGAAAAAGATTTCGTCCAAAAACCAAAAAGGGGTGCAACACGAGGACTTCCCAGGGGGTCACCCATCCTAGTACTACTCTCGCCCAAGCACGCTTAACTGCGGAGTTCTGATGGGATCCGGTGCATTAGTGCTGGTATGATCGCACCCGAAATGCTTCCCTCTTTCAATTCATTTGTTCCATCAGTAGGACCACCGCCATGCGTTGCTTTCTCAGCACCGAGCTTCCTTAGTCACGCCTCGCCGACCGGACCCCGCATCGCGTTGGAGGGCCCTCTAGGGGCGAGTGCAGTTCGGAGATTGTTTTTCTCAAAAAGTCGCAAACCGGAAGCCCTCGACGAGACGAGCAGAATTGGCGGCGAGCAAAGAGAAGGGGGAAGGGAGCGGGGAAAAAGATTTCGTCCAAAAACCAAAAAGGGGTGCAACACGAGGACTTCCCAGGGGGTCACCCATCCTAGTACTACTCTCGCCCAAGCACGCTTAACTGCGGAGTTCTGATGGGATCCGGTGCATTAGTGCTGGTATGATCGCACCCGAAATTTTGTCGTCTTTCAATTCATTTGTTCCATCAATAGGACCACCGCCACGCATTGCTCTCTCAGCAACGATCTTTCTTGGTCGCGCCTCGCCGACCGGACCGACTTGTCGGCGTTGGAGGCTCGAGGCGGCGTGCCCGTTCGGGAGATAGTTTTTTCTCCGAGCCCAAAGTAAACCAAAAAAGAGTGCAACACGAGGACTTCCCAAGAGGTCACCCATCCTAGTACTACTCTCGCCCAAGCACACTTAACTTCAGAGTTCTGATGGGATCTGGTGCTTTAGTGCTGGTATGGTCGCACCCATGTCTTCCCCCCTTCAATTCATTTGTTCCTTCAATAGGACCACCGCCATGCATTTCTTTCTCGGCCCAGAGCTTTGCAGTCACGCCTTCGCCGACGACCCAAGCATCGCGTTGGAGGCTCTCGAGGCGCGAGCGTCTGCTCAGAGAGATAGTTTTTCTCCGAGCCCAAAAAGTCGCAAGCCGGAAGCCCTCGACGAGGCAGCGGAATCTGGCGAAGCAAAGAGAAGAGGAGGGAGTGGGGAAAAGGTTTCGTCAAAACCAAAAGGGGTGAAGCACCGGGACTTCCCGGGAGGTCACCCATCCCAGTACTACTCCAGCCTGAGCGCGCTTAACTACAGAGTTCCGATGGGATCCGGTGCATTAGTGGTATGACGCACCCGAAATGCTTCCCCCTTCAATTCATTTGTTCCATCAAAAGGAACACTGCCATGCATTTTTCTTTCTCGACGAGCTTTAGCTTAGTCACGCTCGCCGACCGACCCGCATCGCGTTGGAGGAGGGCTCGACAGGGTCGAGCGTGCCTGTTCAGAGATAGTTTTTTCTCCGAGCCCAAAAGTCGCAAACCGGAAGCCCTCGGCGAGGAGGGGGAGAAGGAAAGAAGAAGGGGAGGAGTGGGGATAAAGATTTCGATCAAAAACCAAAAAGGGGTGCAACACGAGGACTTCCCAGGGGGTCACCCATCCTAGTACTACTCTCGCCCAAGCACGCTTAACTGCGGAGTTCTGATGGGATCCGGTGCATTAGTGCTGGTATGATCGCACCCGAAATGCTTCCCTCTTTCAATTCATTTGTTCCATCAGTAGGACCACCGCCATGCATTTTCTTTCTCAGCGACGAGCTTTCTTAGTCACGCCTCGCCGACCTGACCCCGCATCGCGTTGGAGGGCTCTCTAGGGCCGAGCGTGCCCGTTCAGGAGATAGTTTTTCTCAGGAGCAAAAGTCGCAAACCGGAAGCCCTCGACGAGACGAGCGGAACTGGCGGCGAGCAAAGAGAAGGGGGAAGGGAGTGGGGAATAAGATTTCGTCCAAAAACCAAAAAGGGGTGCAACACGAGGACTTCCCAGGGGGTCACCCATCCTAGTACTACTCTCGCCCAAGCACGCTTAACTGCGGAGTTCTGATGGGATCCGGTGCATTAGTGCTGGTATGATCGCACCCGAAATGCTTCCCCCCTTCAATTCATTTGTTCCATCAATAGGACCACCGCCATGCATTTTCTTTCTCAGCGACGAGCTTTCTTAGTCACGCCTCGCCGACCTGACCCCGCATCGCGTTGGAGGGCTCTCTAAGGCCGAGCGTGCCCGTTCAAGAAATAGTTTTTTCTCCGAGCCCAAAAAGTCGCAAACCGGAAGCCCTCGACGAGGCAGCGGGCGCGGCGAGCAAAAGAAGAAGGGAGGGAGTGGGGAAAAAGGTTCGTCCGAAAACCAAAATGGGGTGCAACACTCGTACTTCCCTGGGGGTCACCAATCCTTTTACTAATCTCGCCCAAGCACGCTTAACTGCGGAGTTCTGATGGGATCCGGTGCATTAGTCTTTGGTATGATCGCACGAAATGCTTCCCCTTGATTCATTTGTTCCAACAAAAGGACCACCGCCATGCATTTTCTTTCTCGACGAGCTTTCTTAGTCACGCCTGCCGACCGACCCGATCGCTGGGCGTTGGAGGGCTCTCGAGGGCCGAGCGTGCCCGTTCAGGAGATAGTTTTTTCTCCGAGCCCAAAAAGTCGCAAACCGGAAGCCCTCGACGAGACGAGCGGAACTGGCGGCGAGGAAAGAGAAGGGGGAGGGGAGTGGGGAAAAAGATTTCGTCCGAAAACCAAAAAGGGGTGCAACACGAGGACTTCCCAGGGGGTCACCCATCCTAGTACTACTCTCGCCCAAGCACGCTTAACTGCGGAGTTCTGATGGGATCCGGTGCATTAGTGCTGGTATGATCGCACCCGAAATGCTTCCCCCCTTCAATTCATTTGTTCCATCAATAGGACCACCGCCATGCATTTTCTTTCTCAGCGACGAGCTTTCTTAGTCACGCCTCGCCGACCTGACCCCGCATCGCGTTGGAGGGCTCTCGAGGGCCGAGCGTGCCCGTTCAGGAGATAGTTTTTTCTCCGAGCCCAAAAAGTCGCAAACCGGAAGCCCTCGACGAGACGAGCGGAACTGGCGGCGAGGAAAGAGAAGGGGGAGGGGAGTGGGGAAAAAGATTTCGTCCGAAAACCAAAAAGGGGTGCAACACGAGGACTTCCCAGGGGGTCACCCATCCTAGTACTACTCTCGCCCAAGCACGCTTAACTGCGGAGTTCTGATGGGATCCGGTGCATTAGTGCTGGTATGATCGCACCCGAAATGCTTCCCCCCTTCAATTCATTTGTTCCATCAATAGGACCACCGCCATGCATTTTCTTTCTCGGACGAAGCTTTAGTCACGCCGACCTGACCCCGCATCGCGTTGGAGGGCTCTCGAGGGCCGAGCGTGCCCGTTCAGGAGATAGTTTTTTCTCCGAGCCCAAAAAGTCGCATAACCTAAGCCCTCGACGAGGCAGCCAGGAACTGGCGGCGAGGAAAGAGAAGGGGGAGGGGAGTGGGGAAAAAGATTTCGTCCGAAACCAAAAAGGGGTGCAACACGAGGACTTCCCAGGGGGTCACCCATCCTAGTACTACTCTCGCCCAAGCACGCTTAACTGCGGAGTTCTGATGGGATCCGGTGCATTAGTGCTGGTATGATCGCACCCGAAATGCTTCCTTCAATTCATTTGTTCCATCAATAGACCACCGCCATGCATTTTCTTTCTCGGCGAGATTTCTTAGTCACGCCTCGCCGACCGACTCCCGCATCGCGTGGAGGCTCTCGAGGGCGTAGCGTGCTCAGAGATAGTTTTTCTCCGAGCCCAAAAGGTCGCAAACCGGAAGCCCTCGACGAGACGAACCAACAGGCCAACTTACAAAAGGGGAGGGAGTGGGAAAAAGATTTCATCCAAAACCAAAAAGGGTGCAACACGAGGACTTCCTAGGAGGTCACCCATCCTAGTACTACTCTCGCCAAGCACGGTTAACTCGGAGTTCCGATGGGATCCGGTGCATTAGTCTTTGGTATGATCGCACCCGAAATGCTTCCCCCCTTCAATTCATTTGTTCCATCAATAGGACCACCGCCATGCATTTTCTTTCTCAGCGACGAGCTTTCTCACGCCTCGCCGACCGGACCTCGCATCGCGTTGGAGGGCTCTCTAGGGCCGGGCGTGCCCGTTCAAGTGATAGTTTTTTCTCCGAGCCCAAAAATTCGCAAACCGGAAGCCCTCGACGAGACGAGGGAACTAGCGAACTAGCGAGGAAAGAGAAGAGGAGGAGTTGGGAAAAAGATTTCGTCCAAACAAAAAGGTGTGCAACACTAGGACTACCAAGGGGTTCACCCATCCTAGTAATACTCTCGCACAAGCACGGTTAACTGCTGCGGAGTTCTGGGATCCGGTGCATTAGTGCTGGTATGATCGCACCCGAAATGCTTCCCCCCTTCAATTCATTTGTTCCATCAATAGGACCACCGCCATGCATTTTCTTTCTCAGCGACGAGCTTTCTTAGTCACGCCTCGCCGACCTGACCCCGCATCGCGTTGGAGGGCTCTCGAGGGCCGAGCGTGCCCGTTCAGGAGATAGTTTTTTCTCCGAGCCCAAAAAGTCGCAAACCGGAAGCCCTCGACGAGACGAAATCAAGCGAATCGCGAGCAAAGAGAAGGGAGGAGTGGGGAAAAGATTTCATCAAAAACCAAAGGGTGCAACACGAGGACTTCCAATGGTGTAACCCATCCTAGTACTACTCTCGCACTAGCACGCATAACTGCTGAGTTCTGATGTGATACGGTGCATTAGTGCTTGTATGATCGCACCGAAATGCTTCCTCCTTCAATTCATTTGTTCCATCAATAGGACCACCGCCATGCATTTTCTTTCTCATCGACGAGCTTTCTTAGTCACGCCGCCGACTGACCCCGCATCGCGTTGAGGGCTCTAAGGCCGAGCGTGCCCGTTCAAGAGATAGTGTTTTCTCCGAGCCCAAAAAGTCGCGAACCTAAGCCCTCGACAGACGAGACGAGCGGAACGGGCGGCGAGGAAAGAGAAGGGGACGGGAGTGGGGAAAAAGATTTCGGCCAAAAACCAAAAGGGGTGCAACACGAGGACTTCCAGGGGTCACCCATCCTAGTACTACTCTTGCCCAAGCACGCTTAACTGGAGTTCCGATGGGATCCGGTGCATTAGTCTTTGGTATGATCGCACCCGAATTCCCTCCTTCAACTCATTTGTTCCATCAATAAGGACCACCGCCATGCATTTTCTTTCTCAATGAGCTTTCTTAGTCACGCCTCACCGACCCCGCATCGCGTTGGAGGGCTGTCTAGGGCCGAGCGTGCCCGTTCAAGAGAAGGTTAGGCCACCCTTGAACCACCAGAGGAGGAACTCAGATCGAGGATGACGGGCCACACAGATTTGTTCGCTAAAGCTCATCACTGAAGAATGGTGGTGTTCTTTTCACTTTTCCCTCACGGTACTTGTACGTTATCGGTCGTTGAGGAATAGTTAGGCTTAGAGGGTGTTCACTGTTGTAGACACCCTAATCCGGACCTCAGAGAGTCTTTGTTTGCCCCGATGATGAAATAAAGGAAACGGTACCTTTATGAGCTTGAAAAAGGATTTTCCTAAGCCCATGTAAACCAAACAAACCAAAAAGCCCAAAAACCAAAGAGCCCAGATAAGGCCCAAAAGCCCCTGGCCTAAAACATGAGGTACCGTGCGGAATGGTACTGTAGCGCACGACAGGTAGAAATTCGATGGGCCGTGCGCGACCTTGACTTGTACTGCACGGCACCTTGGGAAAAGTTCTGACTGGCTCAGAAAGCTGTCAGCCACGCCAGTTTGAACCACAGCTGATGAATGGCTCAGTCGAAAGTGCACTTCTAGCCCGCCCAGAAAATACCTCAACTATTTGAAATTCAAAATCCTTGGCCTTTTGCCTATAAATTAACCCCTCCACTCAAGGGAAAGGGGCTCTTCTCTTGGCTTTTGAGCATTTTTACTCCATAAGCTTTCTCTCTCTAGTTTTACACCCATTCTCCCATTCCTATTTCCAAGTCTTAAAGAATGTCATTCCCAAAAGACATTCTTTGAGCACTTTCACTCACTCCCTTCTCATCATTGAAGTTGATCTCTCATTAATTTCAAGGTCTCACCCCCCAAAATACCAAACTTTCCCTCACACCCATACTTCATTTGTCTCATCCAACCTCTCCATCCGCATCCGTCGCTATCCATCCTCATTTTGTGTCAACCATCCTCAATCAAACTCAACACCAAATGTAAAAATAAGTTTCTTTGGGCTAGACTCAGTTCTGGTTCTGAGGGAGACTTTTCTGTCGTCAGATCTAATCCCTTTTGGTTAGATTCTGACTTAAAACTCATTTTCATAAAATAAAGCCAGCACTGTGCTGATGTCAAGGTACCGCGCGGTTGCCTGACAAGGCTCGCGGCACCTTGATCTTCGACGCACGACATGTTAAGTGTTGATATTATTGTAGGCAGGATGTTTGGATCTGAGTTATTCTCTGTTGTGGCTGTCCGTATCTGCTGTTCATTGTTCTTGTCTCTTTCAAAACAAAACCATATCTACAAGCCATGTCTTGGCTCTTAAAAAGGGTTTTCTAGATCATCCCAAATGATCAAATGCGTTAAAAACTATTTTGGGGTAATGTTTTGAGAAAACAACGACATTTTTGGGATGATCTGGTCATCACGTGGCCTCTGATGCGTCTTTTAAAAGATATACCGTGAAAACAATGAGCCAGATGATGTTTCGAGCATTTATAACAGTCTGACAGTAGAGTAGATATCCCGCACGGCACCACGAGGTGCCGTGCACAGTATGATTGAGATCCAGACAGCTTGCTGGACGTTTTTCATTCCATCTACTCATACCATTTTATCACTACTTTACACACAGCACCACGTACACACTAATGTGATATATTTCCCATGTTCCTTCCCCGTTATTTGCTTTTAATAAGGAGCTTAATGTTCTAAATGATATTTGAAGATTTTCCCTTTTGAAAACAATAAGTAGAGACCGGTTTCACCGGCGAGTGGGGTGCTTTTTAAAGAAAAACCTTCCTCATTCGTAATGTGGCTCCCGAACCCAAAATCTAAACGTTTTTGCTAGACCAAAAGCCTTTTGCAAACAAGTTCTTGGTTTTTCGGATCATCCATCTCAAAAATTCGGGTGGCGACTCTTCGGAAAAATGGCGCAGGAGCCCACAACTGTACCTTAGTAAGTACAAAATCTCAAATCATAGATTTTTTAAGGCTCTCTATAGGAGTTAAGGCTAGGCCCTATCAATTCCATTACGGAAAAGAATGTTTTGCGAGAAACTAAGAATCGCCAACCAATTGATCGAATGTTCCCAGAGACAAAAGGGGTCACAGCCATGTCAAGTTGAAGTAGGTTCATCGGTACTGGAGTGTAGCACACTCACCTGATATATAATGAAGCCCACTTATCCTTGGTTTGGGAAGGGTTTTGTGCAAGGGGATGAACCCATCTCTCCTTTCTTGTTATCCTGGCGAAGAGGGGCGACGGGGCACTTCTGACCGATCCATAAACAATCTAGCATAATTCACCTGAAAATTTGACGATTTCACCCATCTTCATCCCCCTCCCCCAATTCCCAGGGCTCCATCTCTGTCGCTATGCCCTCCCTTGCTTTTGTTTGCTTTTGTTCAAACAGAGAAGGGTTTTATGCCAATTTGGATACATATCATCCCAATGCTTTCTCATATTCTGAACATAATCTAAATTCATAATTCATAATCTAAAAATGATTGGAACCTCAAACACTCTTCTCCCCTGCGATGGTGCTAGTGAAATTTTGTTAAAAAAATGGTCTACGTATCAGGGCCTACGTACAGTTCCTGGAAAATCAAGTCCAAGTCACAGTTTTGACATGTGTAGACACCCCAATCTGTGCTTCCAAATTAGTTTATTTATAGTTTTTGATTCCCCGATGATGAAACGGATCAAGAACACCCTAGGAATGTCAAGTGTTGAGCTTTGAGTGTTTGAAAAACCCTTGAACCTAACATAAACCTAAGCCACTTCAAAAACCCAAAAACCCTTCTGACCTGCGCCAGGGCGCGACCATTGCGCGCCAGGGCACAATCGTTGAGCGCCAAGGCGCACCGTCGCACGACGGTCTGACTCCATCGCGCGATGGTCAACCATCGCGCACCAGGGGGCACCATCGCGCGACAGACCCACTCCATCGCGCGATGGTCAAAAATTGTCCCCATCACCTTTATCAGCTGGGAAAACTTAGCCACGAAGTAACCCTTAGCCAGCACGTCTCTTTGCACCAGATCTACCTTCCCCTCTCTTCCTATAAGTACCCCCCCTTTGTTCATCTTTTAAAGGGTTCACAAAGTTACACATTTTGGCCATAGCCTTGCTTTCTTCTTTGCAAACCAAAGAGATACAAGGGCACCTAAGAACATAGCTTGTTCTTCCTCTTTCATCACTCAACTACTCAATCAAGCCTCAAACATCAAAGCTCAAATACTTTTTCAAACTCAATCTAGGTATACCATACCTACTATTTTTTTGTTCTGATCCCTGAGGGGGGCTGGCAGGGCCAAGGCTGGTAATCAATATCAGTTCTGGCCCTAAAGCTAGCAAGGTTTCAAAAACCGTCATAGTAAGAACCAATGCGCGATGGACCCATACACTCGCGCGACAGTCACTTGTTGCGCGCGATGGTCCACGTGGGGATTGGTGTCCTATTGTTTTATGCTTTATGTTCCATATAGATCACTGTTAAGCATGTAAATAACCATTTTATTGCTTTTGGGTAAATTTCTCTTATATCCCTTCGACTTTAAGCGAAAATTCAATTTGGTCCTTCACCTTTCAATTTGGACAAATAAATACTTCTAGTTTCGAATTTGTTCCAATATCAACCCTTCGTAGGCTTCCGTTAATGTTTTGGACGGAAATTGATCATGTGCCCAGCACATGACCAATTTTAAGGGGTATATTTGTCCATTCATGACTTTTTCTTCCAACCATTATTCCCCTATAATTTCTGAAAATTCCGTCTCTCTCTTCTCCCATCTCCCACAGGCCACCATCTCCTCTCTCATCTCCCACAAGCCACCACCAAACGAAGAAGAAAACCCACTCTCCGATCTCCGATCTCTCTCTCTCTCTCCTCAGATTCTCCTCTCTCAAATAAATTTCACCCATCAATCTCCCTCTTATTCGGATTTTCTGCACGATTCTAGGGTTTTTGAGGAATCTGAAATCTCCTCTCTTCTTCGTGATTGATGTACGGCAGCGGATGTGGGGGTTTATGATGGCGACGAGCAGTGGTTGCGGTTGTGGATGACACGACACAATTGAGGTAAGGGCTTGGTTCTCATATGATTTGAATTGGGATTTGAATTCCGAAATTGGGGATTCCAAATTAGGGGATTAAAATCCGAAATTGGGGTTTCCGAATTGGGGGTTTGAGGTTAGGGTTTTAATTTCGAATTTAGGGGTTTCTGACATTCGGGTTCTGAAATTCGAAATCGGAGTGTTTGGGGGTTTGAATCGGGTTTATGCTGGCCGTGATTGGTGGTGTTGACTGGTGGTGGTGGTGAAACAGATGGTGGTGGTTTGCAGTGATTGTGGTGGGAGTGGTGACTGGTGGCGGTTTGTGGTTATTTGAGGTGATTTTTGGTGGTTAGTGTAGTGGCTGATGGTTTTTGGTGGTTTGTGGTGATGATAGCTGGTGGCTTGTGGTTATTTGAGTTTTTGGTGGTGGTGACATGGGAGATGAGAGAGAGACGGGGATTTTGGTAGAT